CGTGTCTCCTGCATCGGCAGGCGGACTCCCAACCACTGAGCCACCAGGGAAGCCCAAGAGAAATAGTCTTTTACTCCCTTATGAAGGGTATGGATGTTGAAAATAAACAAAGTATTCAATTTTCACATTCCTGACAGGAGGGAAGAGTGAGGGACTCCACCATATAAGGAAATGGGCTGAGATAAAAACTATGATGCACACATTCCCTGACCATGCTTTCCAAAGCAGCAGCCTGTTACCCTCTGTGCTCTTACTCTGCTTAATTACTCTTCATAGCACATACATATTCACTTTTTTTAATTGTCTATTTCCTCCACTAGAATATAAGCTCCGTGAGGGCAGGGCTTTTATTCTTATTCATTGATGTTTTCATGGCCTAGAACAGTACCTGGCATCTAAAAGATATTCAAAAAATTAATGAATTAATTTAATTCAAAATAAACGAAGAAGGCCTGAAGGTTATAGTTCTAGCTCTGCCACTGATCAATTTTGTGACCTTGGAAAAGTGTCTTGAAGAAGTCTTTTTAATCTCTTGGGGAATTTGTTAAGAAAAAAAAAAGCATTCAACCAGATAATCCCATTCAATGCTTCAATACTGTGATTTTATGTATGTAATGAACCATAATACAAGGCAAAGTGTGATGAGTGGTAAACTAGAGTACAGTGGATAACTGTCACATTTCCCGGCTGCCCAAGCATCTTTCGAATAGCCGCCTTCTGTTCAGACAATTTACTACCTTATGAGTACCACCTCTCCAAGAAGGATATCAGAAGTTCACTTGCCCAGCTTTCCTTTTAGCTAGGGACAAGTCATTTGACTTGGGTTCTGTCTATGAGATACACCTTCAAGAGACTTTAAGGTAAGCAATGTGAGGAAACAGGTACCTTGTAGAGTTCACTTTTTGGTGGGGAGGCTGCAGGAGTTCCTGCCTTCTGGGGCTCCATATCAACCATGGAGTGGAAGAGTGTGGGTTGCGTAGCAACAGCAATGTTGTTTAATGTGGCTCAAGATTTGTGGAGTAGGGAATGAAAAGGAGAAAACAGTGATTCACTTTAGAAAAAGCAAGGCCTTCTGAAGTATCACAGACTTGGTCCAAATCCTGCTCTGCCACTTACTGGCTGTGCCTTTGAATAAATTATATAACCTCTTCGGCCTCAGTTTCATCATTTTTAAAATGGTCACTGTCTAAATTCACTCACAGCCGCTGAAAGCTCTTTTGATGCCACAATTCCCCAGGGACTTCTGCTAGTATATTTGCCTCTAGATCAAACTGGGTCAAAGTTAGGCTTTAAATGATGGGTAAAATTAGGTCAATTTATAAAGTTGCAAGAAGATAAAACACTGAGATACAATAGTAATAACAGAGACAGCAAAGTCAACTAATAAAAGGCAATCTTTTCCATATGTATCAACAGGCCCAAAGACATTACTAGCCAGCAGAATATAATAATTGATGCTATAACAATTATCTTTAGTTGCCAAGCAAAGATTAAATTACGGCCCATTTACTCCAGTTATGGTAGGGAAGTAAGTACTACATTTTATGTATATTTCTATCAAAAGTGGTTCCAACGAACAAGTTTTGGTGCTTAAGGGCTTCTTAGTGATGCCAGAAAGTGAAATATAATAACTGATAAGATATCAGAATATGAGAAAACATTATGGGCATAAATCGTTTCATTTCAAAGTTGTCTAGAATAACCTAAACTTTTTTCACAGAGGCTCTCTGACGCCTAGGAACTCCTAAGTGCCACTTTAGAATTTAAAGAAAATATACTCTTTTCTATGTAAGTCTTCATTACCCAGAAATAACACCATAATAAAGTCACAAGGAAACCAGCAAGCTGGCCTCAAGAACCCTTTTCCCCAAAATCCTCCCTGACTGCTGATACCAAGCAGGCAAGCATTTGCCTGAGTTTTTCAACTGCTACATTGATACCCATATTTATTCCAATTTCCTCTTCAAGTTTACATTTCTTTTTATTTATTTATTTATTTATTTATTTATTTATTTATTTGTGGTACGCGGGCCTCTCACTGTTGTGGCCTCTCCCGTTGCGGAGCACAGGCTCCGGACGCGCAGGCTCAGCAGCCATGGCTCACGGGCCCAGCCGCTCCGCAGCACGTGGGATCCTCCCAGACCGGGGCATGAACCCGTGCCCCCTGCATCGGCAGGCGGACCCCCAACCACTGCGCCACCAGGGAAGCCCCAAGTTTACATTTCTTATTCCTCCTTCCTCAATATGGGTATTTCCTGAGGCACAGGCCTTGGCCTTCTGCTCTTCTCTATAAATACTTTGTCCTTTGGAAAGATCACATACACTGATGATTTCAACTGTTGTTTCTTCATGGATGACTCACACATTTGTCTTTCATCAGCTTTAGTCCTGTATTTCTAACAACCGCCTAAAATTTTTCTTTTGAATATTTCCCTACTATCTCAAATTCTACAAATCTTTTTTGAGCTCTGAGCTCATTTTTGCTTTAAAACCAACTCATGCTATAGATATCCCTTCTCAGTTGCAATTTTCCAGACTTGAACAGGAGTCTTTCCTGATTCCTCCTGATCCTTGTCTCCCATCATCCACTTAGTTACTATACCACTCAATTATTGTAACCCTGGTCTTTCTGCTCTCACCTTTACTACCCAACACCAAGATTATCATATCTTCCCATCCATACTATCCTATACACTTTAGCTAGGTTAATGTCTCTAAAACGTGGCTTGGAACATTCATAGTTCATCATTCACTCCACAAACGTTTACTGAGTGCTTACTTTATACAAAGTCCAATGTTACTCACTCCAGGATGTAGAAATGAATGTAGAATGAATGTAGTCTAGTAGGGGGAAAAGACTTCCACATAAATAATTTAGTTCTAACTTAGAAAGTGGTAGTAACTGAAAGAATAGATGAAAAACGGCTCAGAAAGCATAATGGACATTCAGTGGAAGGAAAACTTATTTCTAGATGGAGATGTTACTTCATTCAGCTTTAATGGATAGAATTTCAACATCCCGAGATGATGGGGAGGGAAGAGTACTCCAAGCAGAAAGAGACATGAGCCTCTACAGAAAGGTAATGGGTAGTTCATCAATTTTGCACTTCCCATGGTCTGGTTTGTTATGGACAAACGGAGAATGAAAGAGGGACAGCAGAAAATAGTTTTGAATCCAAAGTTAAAAAATTTGGCCTTTAATCTACAACAGGGAGCCGATGAAGATTTTCTATCAACTTAAAGATGAGTAAGCCTACAGCAGCGATGTGTAAGATGGGCAGGTAGGAGAGTGAGGCTAGAGGAAGGGCATCAATGAGAAAGGTATCACATTCCCACTGTCCAGGGGGTGATAATGACAACTTTGACTAGGCGGAGGCAGTGGGTACGGAGAGTGGATGGATGCCAGAATTAATGTAGGGTAGAATCGACAGAACTTAGCAACTGACGGGAGCAAGGGAAAGAAAGAAATGGCATCAAATGTAGACATCGATGTTTCCAAGCTGGAAACTCATGAAGAGTATTAACCAAAAGGGGTACCCAGTCTGGAAAGCAATTTGGGAGGGAGGAGGCCAAGATATATTTGGGAATATGCAGCGTTTATAACACCTACTGAACATCCCAGAAGAAATGACCAAGACTCCTGGAGGTAGCTAGATACTGACGACTTAGGCTGGAGCAGAGCAGGGCTGTGTTTTGGCAAAAACACGTACAAAACAGACTACAGAAATCTTACTACCGAAGCTCGCCTGGACAGGAGTGAAACGTGTAGCGCCATTGAAGGAATCCACTCGTGTCTACTTTCCACCGCCTGCCGTCGCCTCGCATTCCTCACAAAGACTCCCGGCGCAGGCGGCCGGAAGTAGCCTTTCCCTCCCCGCTCGGCACAGAAGTTCCAGAACTTCCGTCCCTACCCGTCACCGGCTCCCAGTCAAGGGGGCTCAATATACAGCGATGCGTCTCTTCCTGTACAGCCACCAGGCAGCCTGAAAGAGCACGGTGGGCAGCATCACCTTTAGCCCGCCAATCCACCACCCTCGTAGAACTCCAGGTTAGCCACTAGCGTTGGAAGAATTGGGAAAAATCCACACCGTGCGCCGAAGATACCGCGAGACTTCACAGGCCCGCCTCGGCCTTAGCGCGCCGGAAGCGGAAGTCAGGTCGTGGTCGGAGTCTGGCCCAAGTGTACCTGTTACCTTCGAGAGCTGAAGCGGTCCGGAGGTCCTGTGAGGGTGTTCTGGCTCGGAGGTAGGTTTCCGTGAACGTCCGGCCGGCGGAGTCTGGCCCGAGCGGGATAGGTACAGCCCTGGGCGTGGGGGCGGGTGTCGCTCATTCGGGGCCGCGGGGAGGAGGGAACCGGGCGGGCAGAGCTGAGTGGCCGGCGAGGTGTCCTCCGGCTCTGCCGTTCCGAGACTAGACTCTTTGGCGAGACCGGAAGCCACTTACTCCTCGCGGCCTCCAGTTTCCCTCGCATCTGGGGCCGACGTGCTTCAGAAGGAGCGCATCAGTCAGAGCCTTGATAGACAGGCGCAGGTGTGCTGTGAGAGGACTGAAAAAAGCAGTGGTTCTCAGTCCGTGTCTTCGTTGGTTAGTTCTCTGGGTTCATCTCCCAGGGCAGCGAAACCCCATTCTGGGTACTCATTTACAAGGTTAGTGGCCCGCAGCGAAAGTTCTGTGTGGTTTTATTTAGGGTCAAGAAACTAGTAGTCTTCGAGTACATATCTGAAAGGCTGTACCCTGTGTTTTCCAACAGAAAAGAACATACTTTGTGAAGTTGTTATTCATGCTCGAACTAGCTCATTGGTTTTGAGTAGCATCTTCTAGCTCTTCAGTGGCACTTTAAGCTCCAATTCCCTCTTCGGAATTAACGTTGCAAGTCTTTAGAGCACTTTTAATCCTACCACTTCATTAACCTTTATGGTTCCTGTCCCCACGACACACACCTTTTGAGGGTTTCTTTCAAGGGAGTCAAGTTTTGTTTTGTTTTGTTTTTCTTCCCATAGATCTAAACAATCTAAACATTAAACGGTCCAGCTGCCTCAAATCCCTGGGGTAAGTAAAGCTTGGATCAGTTAAAATTGTATTTAAATTTCATTCTCACCAGTAATTATAAAGATGATACACATTTGTTTATTTGTGGGAGGGGGATCCTGGAAGAACGTTAGAATAGCACATTTGCCTTGGCTTATGATTTTTACCGCCCCTCTGGTTAGGTATGGGTCATCTTTCTGGTGATTTCTGTGATTCCTATAGGAATCAAGGCACGCCTTTAATTTGCTGAATTTATTTTAAACCATACCCTGGATTTGAGAATTTCATATCTGTTTGCCAATCCCATACACATTGGTATTTAATAAGACATACTGTAAGAGAGCAGAGGCCTGGAAAGTAAGACATGTAGATATTGTTTCTTGCATCCAAATAATAATCTTTAATTTTGTTGGGACAAGGGTAGTATTATAAATATTTGCATATGTTTTGAGGGATTTGGAGGAAAGAAAAACTAATGAAAAAGCCGTCTTCCAGTATCACATCTCTTTGACAAAAACTTTTTATTATAAACTGAAGTAATACAGGAAGAAAAATAATTTTAGGACATCAGATAAGGGAGATTTGGTTTTAAAGTTTTAGCATGGTGTCACATATGCCCCAAATCATAGAACAGATTTTAGTGGTCTTGAAGCAAAGAACAGAAAGATGGGGTTTAGGTGAGGAAAGGTAGGGGATGGGACTACATCAAGGAAGGACTGGAAATTGGGGGCTACCTTCAAAATACTGCTAGGGCTGGCTTCCAGGTCTTGGGTGAAGATGAAAAGAAGTGAGCTCTTTCTCTCCTGGTTTCTCAAGGATTAGGCTGCTGCAGCCTAAGTTAGATCTTTTCTCAGAGGTAGAGGGCTCTCTGAAAATTTGGGTGAAGAAATTCTGCTTCAAAAGTGAATCCATAATTGCCCTGGAAAACCCAGCTAATACAGATTTCAGTTTTCATAGCCATTAGATAATATTTGTAGTAGTTTTTTTCATATGTCACAGAACCTGGAATAAGAATATATTGAATACCATTATAAAGTAGTTACCCTAGACCTTAGTAGCTGTGTGTTGAAAGGCCTTTTTATTTGCCTTTCTGTTTTCATGTCTTTACTGTATTTACAGTCTTTCTCTTTATTGGCTCTTTTATTTTCCTACAAACAACTTCAGGTGTTGTAGCCTGGGGAAAAAAGAGGTAACCTTCCAGTAACCCCTTAGCTACTGCCCTTTGTGTTTTGTCTCTGTATCCAGCCAAGCCTCTTGAAAGCTTGGTCTTTAATCAGTGTAGATTTCTACTTCCTTACCTTCCAGTTATTTCTTAATTAATTGTAGTCCTGTTTTAATCCTTGATACTCTAATCACCTCCTAATGGCTAAATCCAATTAATTTTCTCTTCTTGGTTCTTCCTATTACCTTACGATTCAACACTGATGATATATTGATGATGATATATAACAACAATCATGATATATCGTTAATCTTTGTATACCAGGCTTCTAGTTAGCACAATGCCTGTACTGTAGTAATCAAGAAGTACTGAATTGAATCTAGTCTATCTTAGGTTTAAAAGTACACAAGGACTTTTATGAATACCCTGCCTAAAAGTATTTACTTCTTGTTTTTCCACTATCTGGTGAAGATAGTGTTACTTAAAAAAAAAATTCTAATAGAAACATATTAAAAACTGTACAGAATTTCAGAATGACTGACACTTCTGAAGCTGTTTCAAATTTTGAAGAGATGTTTGCCAGTAGATTCACAGAAGATGACAAAGAGTACCAGGAATACCTGAAACGCCCTCCTGAGTCCCCTCCAATTGTTGAGGAATGGAATAGCAGAGCTGGTGGGAACCAAAGAAATAGAGGCAATCGGTATGTATTACTTCAGAACAGTAAATGCCAGTGGCTGATCTGGGAGAGGATAGCTTGAATCTGCTAGCCCACAAGGCCACTGAGGGCAGGAATCAGTGTTTTTGTGCAGTGTGGTATACCGAGTGCCTGGTAACTGCTTGGCACACAGTAAGTGCCTGGTAAATTCTTGCTTTTAATATTTTGTCAGCACCATATTTTTTTCCCCTTGCTATGCAATTGTGTTTGAGTGTGTTATAATGCCTTTTTAAAAAATATTCTTTCTCTGGACTAATATTTTATTTTCTCTGCAAATATGCTTTAAAAACCTAGAGTCTTTTACAAAACTTTTGCATTAAATTCCATAAAGAAGATATTGGTTTTGGTTTTACTTTAGAAAGAAGTTTATACAATGTAAATTACTTCTATTTGATACCTCAAAATAGATCAAAGGAATATTACCATACTGCTTTTGAACAATTGAATAGGTTTCAGAACTATCCTATTGTTTGGGGTTTGGTGTTGTAGTCTACCTCTTCTCTGCAAAGTATTAAATATATCCAGTATAATACTGGATCTGAATCTTAGGAAAGTTTTGAATAACTAGTGCTATAACATTCTGTAGAGAAAAATGTTTTTTACTCTTTTGTATACTGAGTATTAGATTGAGAAATGAAAATCACCAGGATAGATTTGTCATGTGTTTGTTTTTTTTTTTTTTAAGGGAAGTATAAAAATCTTTTTGTTTTGTTGTTGTAGGTTGCAAGATAACAGACAGTTTAGAGGTAGGGATAGCAGACGGGGGTGGCCAAGTGACAATCGATCCAATCAGTGGCATGGGCGATCCTGGGGTAACAATTACCCACAGCACAGACAAGAACCTTACTACCCCCATCAATATGGACACTATGGTTACAACCAACGGCCTCCCTATGGCTACTACTGATAGAAATGTCAGCAGCTTTTAGTAAAACCATTCACTCTGTTAACATGACAAAAGTTTATGTTGTATTTTCTGTTGGTCATAGTTTTACATCTGATTGTAGAGAGTGGATTGATGTTTTGGAACTTGAGACTTTTTTAAAATTAGATCTTACTGGAGAGATATGATGGCTGCTGGAAATATCAATAAATACTCCCCTAAAAAGGTTGTGGATTATATTGCTTGACTTCTACCTCAGATTCTTCTTTATTTCATGACTTAATAGTGCTTTGAATGTTGTGAATTTTTTCCTTGTTTGACTTTGGGGAGTTATTTGTTTTACACAGAAATAAAAATTTTACATAGAAGATGCTTGCTTTTACTTTGTAAGGTAAGGAAGTATCCCTGTACTCGGATATGCTCATTCCTAATATTTTACAGAAGTAGTACAGTCAGCTCCTAAGTGCACAACTGTGCTCACTTGTGATGTATTTTACATAGTAGTAGTTGAAAGGAAAACAGTTACAGTATATTTCATTTGGCTTTTGTTATTATGTGACTGTGGTACTTTGTAATTACTCTATAGATATGAATCATCTTCACAATCGTTTTGGTCTCTTTTTAGAGGGATATCAAGAATAAAGCTGTAAAATCAGGAAGGAGTCATTCTCAGTTTCAATGTCTTGATCTAGTGGTAGGTGGGATTAAGGCACACAGTAATTTTATACAAACTCTAAGGTTTTTTGCTAACTTAAACATACCAGGTCAGAATTCACGCATTATACAAAAGTTTAATCCTGCAATGTTCCCTTCCTTTTCAATCATATGTAAATAATGCTGCATTTTGTATTTACTTTTATGGTATTTAATGTGGGTTGATTTTACAACGTTATGTTCACCTCCAAATGTGCACCTTTGCTGCTTCCCCTTTGTAAATCCAGTGATGCTGTAACTTCCTTTCAGAGTGATCATTGTATTTCACATCATTTTAATGGCCATTATAATGGTTTTACTCAAATAAAATACTTGTAAGTAAGTATTCTCTCTCAAATTTTGGCAGTTAGCCCATTCATTAGAGATGAGCTTTTTGATTTTTTATTACTCTGTTCTCCTATCTGTTGAAAAAGGTTTATTTAGTGTAAGAATAATATTAAGAAAGAGTACAAGTTTCGTCATAGGTCGAAGGTATTAAAAGGCAGCTTCCTGGATCTGCCGTCTGCTGCCTTCTCTCTTCGCGCTCCACTCTAGGCCCTTGAGCTTGGCGTCTCCAGGTACTACTTCTGCATGCCCTGGATCCAACTCCCCCCTCCACCCCCGCTTCCTGAAGAGCCATTCTTCCAGGTAACTATCTTATTAGAAAGGATTTGATAAACCAAGTACTCACACTCAGATGCAAATAAAATTTTAACAATAAGATAAGGGTTTTCCATGTACCCTTGTAATTACATCAATAGGCAACAAGCAGTGCTGGCACATTAAGATAGGTCTTGATACTACAGAATATTTAGCCCAGAGAGTTAAGAATGGCTTGACTATACCCCAAGATCTTCTCTGAAAGCAGATGGGTTATTAAAAATATCTGTCAACTGATAAAGCACAGCCACTGACCAGTTGGGACAATAGCTGACCACAACTTTAGAGCAGGATCCTGGAGGCCCTCTGCTGTGCCAGCTGTTGACAGTAATTACAGAGATATTTGGATCCAAGGGACAGGGTTGGAGTGAGGGATGCCTCTCAGGAAGCTCAGAAGAAGAGTATTTTCTAACAGTATTTAAATATTTTAACACTGTAACAGTAGGGTACATATGGTCTGAGTATCAACTCTACTTGAAAATATGAGAAGAGTTCTCCTTTTAACATGAGTTATTTCTGCATTCTGCATGAGTAATCTATGTGGTGGTGGTTTTTCTTTTTTTTAAGCAACAGTCATTATCAGACTGCTCCCTGTGTGCTTAAAACCAGGAAGAAATAAAGGCATGGTTTCTGCTTCATGTGGGAGAGACAGAAAAGAACATCAAACCAACTTAAGGATCATTTAAAAGTGGAGAAGAAAGAATTAGAACTGTCAAATGGAATTGATCTCAGATAGGTAGTCTGTTGAAATAGCATATAGATTGAGCGTAATGAATCCTGGCTCCAAGATATCTGACCTTGAGAAAATCACTTAAACTTTGAGCTTATTTGCTCACCTGCAAAAATGGGGACAACACCCTGCCTTGTCACTCTCACAGGGTTATCATAAAAATAAGTGACCACACATAGGAGAGCTTGAGAATAGAAACTAAAGCTCGTTACCATTAAAACCCCAGTGGTACATAATTGGTGCTGCATAAACATTTGTTTAATCAATGGCAGGGAAGGATTTGATAAATTGTAAAGCATAGTGTTGATATAAAGTATGTAGAATAACTGATAGAAAATGAGGTAGGCAGCTTGAGAATTAAAGATTTGCGATTGTTTCCTTATGTGAATTATTATATGAATTAGCAAAAGAATAAGACATTATATCCTTCAGAAAATAACAAACACTTCAAATATGGAAGAAACAGGGGAATTCCCTGGCGTTCCAAGTGATTAGGACTCAGCACTTTCACTGCTATGGCCTGGGTTCAACCCCTGACTGGGAGGCTAAGATCCTGTGGTGTGGCCGAAAAAAACAAATATGGAAGAAAGAAAGTTTGTATAAAAGTTGAGCCAAAATTACTGGCATTTGCTGTTTGGAAATTGGCACTGACTTGAGAATGTTGAGTGTTCATTATGGAACACATCAAATTAATATCCATTTGAGACAGATGCTAGAGACTTAGATAGAGAACTGTTGTTTTTTTTTTCCTTGAGTGCTAGAAGGATTTGAGGTTATCCAGAGTGTAGTAACCTTGTGTCACTGATCTAAGAACAGTTTCTAGGTTCTTGAAACCATATAGGAAAAAGACAAGCCAGTAAGACCTCCAGCATGGTTTTGGTTTCCAAAGCTGCATTCCTTATAACATAATGCTCAACAGACAAGGATGTAATTTTCCCTTTGTATTTTATTCTCCTAAAGGAAAATATAGAACTTTATGACAGTGTTAAGGGTAATGAAATGTCAGTTTTAAGTTCAGAATACCAAAAAGGAAAGAAATGATCTTTTACCCTGAAGATTACTGATATCACTGATTTTGAACTCTAATGAAAGCACTACACTTTGTTTGTTTTTTTTAATTTAATTTTTTTATACAGCAGGTTCTTATTAGTTATCTATTTTATACATATTAGTGTAGATATGTCGATCCCAATCTCCCCAATTCATTCCTCCCCCCACCCCCCACCCCCCACCCTGCTTTCCCCTCTTGGTGCCCGTATGTTTGTTCTCTACATCTGTGTCTCTATTTCTGCCTTGAAAACCGGTTGATCTGTAAAATTTTTCTAGGTTTCACACATATGTGTTACTATTGCTTTCCCCCTTGGTGTCCATACGTTTGTTCTCTACATCCGTGTCTCTGTATCTGCCTTGCAAACTGGTTCATCTGTACCATTTTTCTAGATTCCTGTTTCACAGTTTTTTAACACCTTAAAAATTTTCCTAGACTTTGTATTCTGTTTGATTCACTCAAGCTAAACAGAGATTTGGCTGTGTATGGAAATCTATGCTCTGGGCCTTTGACTTCTTTTAATTAGCATTATTGTTTATAGTGAAAGGGAATTTTTATTCTTTTTTTTTAAAGGCTATAATTCTTTTTTTTAATTTACTTTTTTGGCTGCGTTGGGTCTTTGTTGCTGTGCACGGGCTTTCCGTGGTTGTGGTGAGCGGAGGCTACTCTTCCTGTGGTGCGCGGGCTTCTTGTTGCAGTGGCTTATCTTGTTGCAGAGCACGGACTCTAGGCACGCGGGCTTCAGTAGTTGTGGTTTGCAGGCTCAGTATTTGTGGCTTGCAGTTTCTAGAGCGCAGGCTCAGTAGTTGTGGCGCACGGGCTTAGTTGCTCTGAGGCGCGTGGGATCTTCCCGGACCAGGGCTCGAACCCATGTACCCTGCACTGGCAGGCGGATTCCTAACCACTGTGCCACCAGGGAAGCCTGGGAATTTTTATTCTTGTTAAGAAATGTAGGAAATAAATATTCCCAGCTTGAGGTGGCTTGTTGGATAACTTCAGTTAGCTGGAAATGTTACTTGTGAAAGCCTTTACTCTGGTAATGTTAGACAAATTGAGGTATTATATATAAACTATTCACTGAAAAGGTTGTTTGGGCTTTATCTTTCAATGTCTGTGTTTTAACCAAAGAAGCATATTTGATATATATATATATATAAATGGGAACTTTGAAATACATTAGGCTTTGGCTAATTCTGTGTGAAAAACCTAATATATAGGTCACTCAGAGAATGTTTCCTCTATATATAAGCTTAGGTATGCTTTTAAAATTCTCCAGTTTTTAATTTAGAATGAATTAAGACCAACAGCAGTAAATATTCTTGACATTTGTAGAAATTAATGATGTTAATTTTTAGATTAATACTTAAGAATTCAGATATATTCAGATGTGACACTCCATTATATCTAAATGGATATTTTCCTGGGTTCTGCTACATCAAATTATTTTGGAGCCAAATCAACAACTAGATTCAAGTAGTAGATTATACTACTGGACTCTAAGGTAGCCTTGAGAGCAAATATTTCCTCCTTTCTAGAGATCTGACTGACCTCTACTGGGACCAGCTTTTGGGAGAAATAGGGATGGGAGCAGAGATCCCATGACCTGTGGAGATGGGGGGAGAGAGGGCCAGGCCAGCTCCATGGGTCTCAGTCAGTAGGGCTGCTGTATTAGGATATGCCAGGGCTTAAGAGGAAGTGACTGAAGCTGGTGTGACACAGCTGAGGCCCGCATGTGCCAGAGATACGTTTGTATCTGAGTAGCTTGTTATCAGTGCTGTCAGACTGGAAAACGGGGATGAGCTGTGGATAATACCCCTCGGATTTTAAGATTTACAGGATGGCATGGGAGGAGGTTAACGAGGACAAGTCATCCTCATCAAAATTGCTAATATGTGATTTGACTGCCCCCTTGAAGGATTAAGTGAAAGCATTTGCATAAAGTACACATCACTAGGCTGGGCATATACTCAGTGCCCATTCAGTGTCAGGTTTGTGCCTCCCCAAGTAGAGTGGGGTACCTCTGGGCTGACTTGGGTGCAAAAAGTGCAGCTCAGATCTTTCACCAGTCTCCATGTGCTGATGGGCTAATTCAGTTGTTTTCATTCCTGTCCCTAAGGGATACAGAGAGCCCCATGTATTAATTACCGGTTAGATTTTCTCCGGGTTTCAGTGACTTCTCCTGAGACAGCTTCAGGGGACGATGTGATGATGATCTCATGGTTTTTTTCCACGGCCAGTGCCTTTAACTCCCTAAAGGATCACCAGCCTCTTTGTCTGAATCAGGTAAATAAAGCTACTGTAATTGCTAAAGGCCAGAGCTTTCTCTTGTGTGTGTGTGTGTGTGTGTGTGTGTGTGTTTGTGTTTCTCATTTTAAAGTTTCCTTCACTATATGTTTTGTGTGTATACAAAATACTACTGTAAAAAGTAAAACTAGACAAATATGAATAATCTGCATCCAGCCAGTGACTCTGGCCTGCTGTGAATGCTTCTGTCTCTTTCACCATGCCCACACAAATATATATATATATAA